TTCCTGCCTCTTCTCAAGCTTTACCACCGCTCCGAAACACCCCACCGAAGCCCAAATCCAATCCACTCCTCGAGGAGACCATCTCGGCGCTGCTCCCTGCGGCACAAACCGGGAAGGGAGCAGAAAAGGAACAAACGGAGACGCACGACTCCAAGGAGGACCCTCGGGTGTTTCAGAAGGGGAGGCCTGAGTACAGATCTCTCTGCTATGACAGGTTTGAGCCAATAGAGACCCTTCCTTTAGAAGAAGGCGACTCGATTTTACGCAGCGTGGCCGAATGCGAGGGCAGCCTGAGCCCAGCGACCGTCACCGATTATTTTCGCAAGCTGAGCCGTTTGCCAGCGGAACAACACACAGGGCTGGTGTCCCGACCTGGGTTTCACACGCTGTGCCTCTGTGCTGTCCAAAGCATCGGGTCGTTCAGCACATCAGAGCTCACGGATATTTTAAAGGCCTGCGTTCGTTTGGCTGTTTTACCCGCTCACCCTCTGCTGAACGCGTGCGAGAACGAATTCTGCCGGCGAGCGTGGGACATGAAGCTGGACCAGCTGCTGCTGGTGGCCGATTGCTGGCGCTGCCTGGAGCGCAGCGTGCCTTCCTACCTCAGCATTTTGTTCAGCTACGCCAACATGCACTGGAGAGACCTCACTTTGCCCCAGTTTGTTCAGCTCCTTTATATCGTAGGTGAAGGCCGGAGGTCGCCCGCGGACTTGATGCAGAAGGTGGAGAGCGTGATTTTGAAATACTTGGACTCCTTCACCTTGGAGGAGCTGGGTGCTGTCTGCTTGGGGCTCTTCAAGTCCCTCAGTGATATCTCTGACCACGTCATGAGAAAAATTGCGGACAGAGTTGCCCTGCAGATGGAGGACATGAGCACTTACGCCTTGGTGAACGTGCTCAAAATGCTCCGCTGCGCTCGCATGGATCACCTGCCCCTCTTGAAGGAACTCAGCAAGGTTATTCCTGCTCGCATTCCTACAACAAACATCCAGGGCATCATGCACATCAGTCTTACCTGTTCATCCCTACACTACTTTGACGAAGGCATTTTGGCTGCTGTAGCCGCGGCTTTGCCTCCTAAGGTGATTTACTGCCGCAGCAAAGATGCTGCCAAATTCTTGTGGTCGTTTGGGTGCCTGGACTATGAACCTCCAAACGAGGAGGAGTTTTACTCCAGCCTCATAGAGCAGATGCATAGAAAACTCCATGAGTTTAGGAAGTTTCCGGAGCATCTCCTTACCGGTTTGCTTGGCCTGGCATTTGTCAAACGCTTCCCAGAGGAGCTGATAGATTATGCTTTGAGGAATGAGTTCGTCCAGAAAACAAGAGGTAGTAAATATGAGCTCCAAAAGGACCTGTTCACCCTCGGTAAGAGCGTTGAAATCGAATGCCCAGATTACCAAGGCAACCGCCTTTCTCCTCAGCTTTATCAAGAGATGACTGAGATGGTTTTGAATTTTGCGGAGCAAGAAATCTACGTCAGGCCTGAAATTGTGGAAGCCGCTTCTCTCCTCAAGAGCATGTTGGGTGGCCCCGAGTACGTGAAGAACCACATGATCCTGCCTCACGCGCGGTCGAGTGACCTGGAGGTGCATTTGGCCACGGATGGGCGTCCCATCCCTTTCAACGTCGAAGACCTTAGCGCAGATAAGAGGCTAAAAGACATCGGCGTTAGTCTGACGGATGACTTAATGACTCAGCTTATAAAAGGGAGCTGTAATAGCCAGTCTGCCATGGAAGTGCCAAATGTAGCCAGGGTTCCCGGTCAGCAGATGGGGAAAGAAGCACAAACACCGTGCACTGGGGATGCGGGATTGCGTGTTGAGCCGAAATCGGGGCGCTGTCTCGAAGCCCCTCCTCTTGTGCCTCGGGAGGTGAAGCTGGCCATTCAGGTGTCCAACCGAAACCACTACTGCTACTGCTCCAAGCGGCTCCTGGGGCTGCACCGCATGAAACGGCGGCAGCTGTGGCAGCTGGGCTACGTGGTGGTGGAGCTGCCCTTTTGGGAATGGTTCCCTCTGCTCAAACGCACGCGCTCGGAGAAACTCAGCTACCTCCATTACAAAGTGTTCAACCCCGCGCTGCTTAGCGGGGCTGCGTAGGCTGGCGTGGTGCTTGCTCTGCGGCTGACAGCCTCCCAGTTGCATCTCTCTTTCTGATTACTGGTTAAAATGGTCTCTGCGTGTTGGTTTAAGCTTTGGGCAGGTGTGCTCAGGCTGCCTTGCTGTGTCGGGCAGTTCTGTGTCTGCTTTTGTACATCGGTCCGTGACAAATAAAAACCGCTGTCCTATTGGGTTTTCTCTGTGATTACTTCTTCCTCCACCCTAAATGAAAATGGGTGGATTTGGTGACTCTGAGAGCAGAACTGTGATATTTAGGAGAGAATTGGGCTGAATTTTAGTCATGGCCTGGGTGCCAGGAACACACACACGTATTTCCTTACCGTTTTCAGCATCATCTGAGTTTCTCCTTTAGGAGCAGGACAGCGTGTGAGAGCTGAGCGGTGAGATGGGAGCTGGAGCTGAGGGTTGGGCTGCCCTGACCCTCAGACATTAATTTCGTGCTCAGCTCTCAGTGATTTGTATCCTGTTGACCCTGTTGCTACGTCTGCTGCTGAATGGGGCCGATAAATCCACCTGGAGATGATTCCCTTGCCTGGGCAATGATGAATCCTGTGCGAACTGAACTGCAAACCCCAGCTGCGTGCAGCATCTGCTCTGGAGGCTGCTGGTTTCAGCCTCGGTTACGTGGCTCATGGTGTTATTTTCTGGCTCAGGATGGTGCCCAGTGGCTGATTTTTCCACGCCGTTCTGAGGACAGAGTTGCTGGCTTCTTCCTGAGCTTTCAGGTGCTGGTTGTCTCCCAGAAGAGGGACGTTTCCTGAGGTGCACAGGGCAGAGTCTGCATCCAACCAGGGATTATTTCACATGGAGCAGCAGGTGAAACTCCCACTCCCACTGCAAAAGCTGTCCTGGCTGTTTTGCAGGGCAGCATTTCAAGTCACGCTGAGGTGGAGGACGGGGAAGATCCTGTCTATTGGTTCATTTTGGCTGCCTGGTTTAAAATGTCTGGGCTGTTTTTTCCTCTCCCTCAAATACTCGGTGTTATGGAGCACCCCTATGCACGTGTGTTACTGCAGCAGCTCCCTAGTTGTATGTGCAGCAGGACGGCATTTAGTGAGTAGCTCCAAAACCTGGTTTTAAATGACTGATCTGAGACCACGGAGGATCTTGGTGGCATAGAAAAGTACAGAGTAGGGTCCTTCAGGTCTGCGTTTCACTGCCTCGGTCCAAAAATCTTCCTTTGGCTTAGGAAAGGCACAGACTCCAGAGAGATGGACACTTGTGTGACATCCTGATGGCACTTCATAGTCTTGGGGTCCTTTGTGATGTTTGTTTCGTGGGTGCTTATTTTTGAAGTGTTTGTAAATTCACAGCCTCCTTTGTGCCAGTCTGAGTTGTTTGAGTCTGTCAGGGCCACAAACAGGAGAAAATCCTGTAAAATAAACCTATTTATACCTAGAGAGCTCCTTATGCCACACAACAAGGAGCAGCTGAATTGGAAGACGGCAAGCAGAGCTGATTGCCACAGGTTATTAAGAGTATGGAAGGAAATGATGAAGATTTAGGGTGCAACCTCAGTAGCAGCCTTAGGCTTGGAGTAAGACCTGAGCCTGTCCTGAGGAATGGCCTGCACCCGTCTGTGATTTGCCTGCCAAAGTGCAAATGCACTGGTGTGGGCAGGCTGGGATGGAGGAGTTTCAGGCCAGGAAAGAGATGGGAGGAGAAATAGAGGGTGAATTTTGAGTCATTCCAGAAAAAAAAGGGGGCAAAGAGACTTGATTTGCCATATTTTGTACTGCCAGCGCTGAGGGCCAAGCTCATTCACTAGGCAGCGGGTTCAAAGTGAGCCACAGGGTGAGGGTGCCAAAAGTCAGACCCGTTCAAAAGCCTGGGAGAACAACTCCTGCACTGGGAGCCTCTCGGGCTCGGAAACCAGGAAAGCAGCACTGGAGGAGCATTGGTTTGTGTTTGCCCTGGTCCTGTGTTCCCCATTGAGGAGCAGGAATTGCTCCTGGTGGCCATCAGACCAAGTATCGGGCTAGAAGGGGGGCTTGGCCGGCCCGCAGCAGCTCTTTTTAGGTTCAGAAATGTCAAGTTTCGGCGTTGTAACCTTCAAGCTCCGCTCTCGGCAGGCTTGGTGTTTATTGTGTTGATTTTTATGTGTGGGGTTTGTCTCTCGGATACCACATTTCTCCTTTCAGGCTCAGCTCCCTGCATTCCAGCAACCGCAGCGACGTGGCCCCAAAAAGCCAGTTTCAATTTGGCTGAACCAACAGCTTCAGTTGAAAATCATTCAAAGGGCTGCTTGTTCTTGAAGGGAGCAGCGGGTTCCTGATTTGCGAGGTTGCCCGAGGCGATGACATCTTAAAATTAAGGTTAATGTAAGGTTAAAACTCTTACCTCGCAGATAATTTCATTCGTAAAAGGGATGGGATGTAACCGATTCGAGACACGTTATTTTCAATGGAAAAGGTGGTGTCTTCACTTGAGTTTCTTTAATGAACGTTGTCAGAAAAATGAGCTGGGTCAGTGTTGGGACACAGAAAATCTTCTTCAGAGCTGTTAATAATTATTATTAAGATAATATCTTGTCGTGTTGGCTGTTGACCAAGAGCACAGGCACCCATTCCTTTGACAACCTCACGTGAGGTGCCGATGCTTTAAGTGCAAAACCTTCTGCATCCTTGATAAACTGCCAGGTCTAACTGATAACCTATCCATAGGTAAGGTGGTTTTAGTCCAAATAGCCATTTTCTCTTTGACATCTCCCCATGGCTTCACTATTTAATATTACTGCAAATTTTTCTTTCAATCCCATCTCTCCATCACAGTTGTTTGGGTTTATTTTGGCTTCACCTCCTGGACTCAAATCTGAGCTGCGTTTTAGGAGCTACCGAGCTTGTGTAATTCACGCAGGCTCCAAAACACGCGATCCTTTCACTGATGTTCACTTGATTTTGCCTTTTTTTTTCCTCCCCAAGCTGAATCTGATGCTCAGCAAGTGAGCTCTCTCCAGCTGCCAAGATGGTAATAAACGTCTGTCTCCCACAGTTCAAGCCAAGAATTCACTGCAACAAGGTAAAATAGTGATGGGGGGTGGATTTTGGGGAGCTGGGGGGGTGGAAGAATTGGGTGGAAGGGACATGCTGGGCTGGGGAGGGCTTGTTTGCTGCTCATCTGGGGTAATTACTGTTTCTGGAAGACTGATTTTTGGCTGGCCATGCCAGGCTTCCCTGGGAAAACAGAGCAAAGGCAGCTCACAGCAAAGTCCTGGCATTTCACATAGTCTGGCAGGTTCAGAGAGGGATTTTAACACAAGAGGCTGGGTATGGCTTGAGAGCGGTCCCAAGGAGAAGGACTTGGGGGTGTTGGTTGATTAAAACCTCAACGTGAGCCACCAATGTGCATCTGCAGCCCAGAAACCAACCCCAGCCTGGGCTGCAGCACAACAAGTGTGGCCATGGGGCCAGGGAGGGGATTCTGCCCCTCTGCTCTGCTCTGCTCAGACCCCACCTGGAGTGTTGCATCCAGTTCTGGGGCCCCCAATATAAGAAGGCCATGGAGCTGGTGGAGCAGGTCCAGAGGAGGTCATGAAGATGCTGAGGGGCTGGAGCAGCTCTGCTATGGAGACAGCTGAGAGAGTTGGGGCTGTTCTGCCTGGCGAAGAGAAGGTTCCAGGGGGACCTTATTGCAGCCTTCCTGTTCCTGAAGGGCTTCTATAGGAAAGCGGGGAGGGGCTTTTTAGAAGGGAAGGTGGTGATAGAATGAGGGGGAATGGTTTTAAGCTGGAAGAAGGGAGATTTAGACTGGATATGAGGAAGAAATCCCTCCCTGTGAGGTGGTGAGGCCCTGGCCCAGGTTGCCCAGAGAAGCTGTGGGTGCCCCCTCCCTGGCAGTGCCCAAGGCCAGGTTGGCCGGGGCTTGGAGCAGCCTGGGCTGGTGGAGGTGTCCCTGCCCATGGGGGTTGGACTGGGGGAGATTTTGTGAGCAGATATTGGGAATCCAGGCTCCTGGATCCCCTTCCCTTTTTGTGCCTTGGTCTTGAGGGAGTCAAACACTGGGAGATGTCTGGGTGCTCGGGATCTGCAGCTCACGTGAAGATAAAGTGGAGCTGAAGGCTCAGGCCTGTGAAAAATCAGTGTTGAGAGATTTCCCACAAGTTACTCTTCAAAATTTGGTTTATCCTGTCTGTGCTATGGGCAATCTCTGTAGGAAGTGTTGGAACGCTGTATAACCTCGTGTGACCACTCTGATGGGGCACACACGAATTGCTGGAGGGAAAAAGCCCTGGTTTTTTCAGGATCTCATAACAAAGCAGTGTTACGTGCTGACAGGTCTGTGTGCTTTGAATGAGATACCTTTCTCGCTGCAATATTACAGCGTTCCCTTTGGCCAGCAGCTCTAGACTGGGTTTGCTGAAGTTACTCTATCCTACAGATAAGTTACATTTTCACTCAGCATCATCAGAGTCTCTTAAATACTGATTCACTTTTGATTCAAGGCCCATGCCCCAAAATCCAAGACAGCCTTGGATTTTGGGATTTTTCACTATGGTGCTGTACAAAATAGCAGGACTGGTGTGCCCGGCCATCTGGGTGCTGTGTTGAGAGACCCAGCCGTGCCACCCCACTTGGTTTAGTTCAGTGACCCAGCCAAAACCACAGGCAGTCCCTAATTTCTGACTCTTTTAGCAGTTGAAACAGCTCTGTTTGCAGAGATTCTGGCTGGCCAGGTAGCTACGGGTGCAGAGAAGATTGGATGGGACTGCGTGGCCAGAGGAGGGTGGGAGTGGGTCTGCTCAGCCTTAAAATCAGGGGTCTCCTTGTCCCAGCTGCACGTGGAAACCACCTCCTTGGTTCCTGGTTGATGTCATCTTGAGAATCCACGTAAGGGCTTGTGAAATCAGTTTCCTTTTATTTTCTGGCTTCAAGTTAAATCCGGTTTTCTCTCGAAACGCAGATTTCTGCTGATGGTTACGAAGTGGAGAATCTGATCTCGGAAGACCTCGCCAGGAGAAACCGTGGTTTCCGCAGCGAATACTTCATCAAACCCCCGGTCCACGTCACGATCTCTTTTCCCTTCAACATCGAGATCTGCAGGATTAATATCGACGTCTCCTCCGGGGGGTATCAAGCCTTCTCGGGGCTCGAAGTTTACATCTCTACCTCATGCAATAAAACCTCTTGGCAGAGCCCCGAGGGGCAGTTCTCAGGTCTGGCCGGTCAGCCTGTGTCAGACAAAGACACTTTCACCCTGGTGGGAAAAGCAGTCTTAAAAAATCAAAGCAAAGTGACGTTTGGCCACAGAGGCTTCAAGCCGAGGCCTCCCTTCCATCAGATGGAAAACGTCTTCTCCTACCCCGGCTCTGCATCTCAAGACCTCTGGAACAAAGGGCCCGCCTCGCTCGCCAACGTGTCCCACCTCAAAATCTGCATCACCCACGTGGCCGGAGGCGGGCTGCCCTGCATTAAGAGGCTGGAGGTGTGGGGACAGCCCGCCAAGTCGTGCCCGCAGGAGGTGATCGAAGGGGTCTTCCAGGTGGCCTCCCAGTTCTCCACCCAGGACGTCGGCAGCCTGAAGCCGGAGCTCTGGACGCCGATGGAGAGCGACTGCATGCCCTTCAGCGCCAGCGACAGCAAGCAGCAGACCCTCCGCCAGCTGGTGGACGTCGTCCAAGACATCCCCGAAGAATTCCTGGACCCCATCACTCTGGAGATCATGACCTTCCCCATGCTCCTGCCCTCCGGCAAGGTGATCGACCAGACCACCTTGGAGAAATGCAACCGGAGCGAGGCGTCCTGGGGCAGGGTACCCAGTGATCCTTTCACTGGGGTGGCCTTCAGCCAGCACTCGCAGCCCCTACCTCACCCTACCCTGAAGGCCAGGATAGATCATTTCCTCCTCCAGCACAGCATCCCTGGCACCAACCTGCTCGGGAGGGCTCACGCCTCGGAGACGCTCGTACCTTCTTCCGTCACCATGTCTTCTCTGAAGAGGAAAATGGACTGTATGGAGCAGAGCGGCTCGGTGCAGCCGCCCTATTTTTCTTCTACAAACTTATTTGTCACGTCTACCTCAGAGAACAGTGCTAAAAAAATGAAAACTGACAGTGACTCGCACTTGACCCAGATGGACTGTTCGACAGGTACCGCGGCTCCCTGCGTCGCTCGTGTGTCCTCAGTGTCCCGACAGCCCGGGGCCAGGTTTTCAAGTCAGGAGCCTCCAGTCCAGATTCCCATCCCTCTAGAAAGCTTTAAGGCCGTTGTATTTTGCTGTCAATAGATGTCATGGCAGCCAGGTCATCATCTCATTCACCTCCCCTTTCCTCCCTGGGTGGTGTTTGCTCCCATCTGTTTCACTTTTTGTCACCTCTAGGCTCATCGATTCTCCTTGTGTTGCCTCTGCATCCCATGTCACAGCCCTCTCATGTGCTCAGGTTGCCACATTCCTCTTTTGGTTTGCATTTCCTTTCTCCTCTTTGCTTTCAAGCCACTGCCCATGCGGAAACGACGTTTTTATCACTCTGTGCTGGTTTGGAGTTTCTCCATCACGGGTGATTTATTATCCCAGACATCCAATATGTCCTTGCATCAGCAAGAAAACACGCAACGGCGGGAAAAGAAACGTCTGGTGGTGCAGTGGTGATGGCATG